ATAGAAATCAAAACCACAATGAGATACCACCTCACACCAGTCAGAATGGCTAAAATTAACAAGTCAGGAAACAACAGATGTTGGCAAGGATGCAGAGTAAGGGGAACCCTCTTATACTGTTGGTGGGAATGCAAGCTGGTGCAACCACTCTGGAAAACAGTACGGAGGTTCCCCAAGAAGTTAAAAATAGATCTACCCCATGATCCAACAATTGCACTACTAGGTATATACCCCAAGGATACAAATGTAGCGATCCGAAGGAGCACCTGCACCCCAATGTTTATAGCAGCAATGTCCACAAGAGCCAAACTATGGAAAGGGCCCAGATGTCCATTGACAGATGAATGGATAAAGAAGATATGGTATATATACACAATGGAATGGAATATTACTCAGCCAACAAAATGAACGAACTCTTGCAATTTGCAATGACATGGATGGAACTAGAGATATTATGCTAAGTTAAATAAGTCAGTCAGAGAAAGAGAAATACCATATGATTTCACTCATATATCGAATTTAAGAAACAAAACAGATGAACATAAAGGAAGGGAAGAAAAAATACAATAAGATGACAATTGGGAGGGAAGCAAACCATAAGAGATGCTGAACTCTAGGAAACAAACTGAAGGTTGCTGGAGGGGAGGTGGTGTGGGGAAGGGGTATTTGGGTGATGGGCATTAAGGAGGGTGCTTGATATAATGAGCACTGGGTGTTATATGCAACTGATGAATCACTAAATTCTACCTCTGAAACTAAAAAAAAACAACAAAGCATTTTTGCTTATGATATTTTTATCAGTATGAGAATTATTTAGCTACCCTATTGTCTTTCAAGCCTGAACCCATATTCAGATTTATTATATATATATTTGTACATACATGTGATTTTCACTTATATTGGGTGCAACTATCATAAAGGATTTCCAGTGACTTGTGTTTATGAGGTGGGAGTTTAAACATTTGCAGGATTATTGAACTTCAAACGTTGAATAGAAATGCCACTGTTCTCCACTGAGAAACTGAACAAAGTTCTATGTCTTAACAGCTATGCTCTTCTTGAAAGCTTTTTGATGTCAATGACACCAGCTTAGAATTTAAAAACCCTTTATCTTACAAAATACACTTTGAAAGATGGAAGGTTTTTTTTGTGTTTTAAAGCATCTTTACAGTTGATTGTTCAAATATTGGCTTTCTGTAAAAAAAATTATCATGCTAATTTTAGGCTGTTTGTAGTAGAATATTAATAAATTTTGCTGCTTGGGCCATTTTAATTACTACCTTAAAAGTAAAATATATACTGACACGTATCTACATGTCTTTGTCCACCAAAATATCTTCTGCAGCTGTAGGTAGGCCTTGGGAGTAGCCACCTCTCTTTCACACAGAAGCTTTACAGGTGCCTTTTATTCCTGAGACTACATTTTCTGGCTTCACACTGTCAATCCTCTGGCATTCTTTTCTTATCTCTTTTTCTTCCCTATCCAAATACCACTATTCTTTTCTTCTTGAAAGGTGTTTAGTCTTTCAAGGACAAGAGTCCCAGATGCAAGATCCCTTGATTGGCATCGTGACTTCCATCTCTCTTGAAGCATCTCATGAGATGCACATTAAAAATGTCTATTTGCTTTTCCATTTTCCTTTTCAGAGTTTTGTCCCAAGAAGCCTGAAATAAGACATGCTGCTTTTCCCAGTCACAAGAAGACATGGGCTGGTCTCTCTGTGAGAGCACTGCAATCATGCCATCTGGCTTGACTTGACAGCATGATAAAGAATGTGGCTTGGAGCCACATGGAGACTAACCCATGTAGAAATACAGGTGCTGCTTTTCATAGTCAATGTATTTGATTTTCTTCTTGCCATACTGAATGGAGAGAGAAATAAAACTAAAATAAGAGACAAGACTTCTGGTCATTACACTTAAGGACAATGCTGTGTGTGTGTGTTTGTGTGTGTCTAAAATCTCTATAGAAAGAGCCATCTGGTCGGAGTTTGTTGGCTGTCAAATTTGAGGCACTAGAAGAACCAGAACTGTAATAAGAGGAAATACTGAGGCATCTTTTTGATTTAATTAAGTGTGGGTAATTCTCGCATTTGACTATGGGGATTGTGATTAAAAAAAAATTTCCTATGGAAGCCATTTTGAAACTTTTTGTACTTATATGGAGTGGAGTGGTGATCAAAAGAAATATTTCTGCTGAGTTTTCCTAGCTCATCTTAACTGTGGTGTTTAGAATTCTGCTTGAAGCTCAGTCTCCATCTCCATCCATTCATCCAACAGATATTTATCAAATGATCATGTGGTAAAAGATATAGGCATGGCCCCTCTCATCTGTCCCATCTTCTCTCCTTTATGTTCTTATCATGGATCTCACACTGTGATTTACTATTTCTAAGGCACAATGATATTACATATATCTTTTTAGGGGGGAGGGAGGGGCAGGGAGAGGGAGAGGGAGAATCTTAAGCAGGTTCCATGCCCAGTGCAGAGCTGAAGTGGGGTTTGATCTCACAACTTTGAGATCATGATCCAAAATCAAGTCAGATGCTTAACCGACTGAGCTACCCAGACACCCCTACATATAATCTTAATACTGGGAATTTCATTCATTTTCTAGGAATCTGCTTAGTTAATTTAGTCTGTGCTCAGCACACAAGGGCAGCAAATACCCCCGAGGGGAGGCATAGAGGTATTGGTTATATCTCCAATACCTAGTAGACATACAATAAATCTTTAGTTGAAAGAAAGAATGAATGAATGAATGAATGAAAATTTATATCTCTATATTTTTACTATAGTTCACTTGGTCACAACACTATGGGCAGCATTTGATTTCTTCTCTCCCCCATTCTGTTGATACCTTCCCTCCTACATATAGACTTCTTTTCCTATTTGGATAGCAGGGTTGACTCTTTCTTTTCTTACTGTCATAGATAAAAAGAAATATCATGGTGATGATATAGTAAGAGCTATTTGCAGTTACTTCCAAACCTCCAGATATTTAAGTAGTGAGAAACATGGAAAAAAGAGCAGGTGGAAAATTCCTGGGAGATGGCACACCTAGATGGAGGACTGATTTTGAGTATCATTCCCAAAGGAGGGCTCTACGTCTTCCAGCAGATGAGCATAGGTAGAAAGGTTGGCAGTAAAATGAGAAGGAAGGGAAATTCAGGGCTCTTCAGAATCATTTTTTATGTAAGACAACTAAATTTTAGAGTTTAAATAATTTTAAGCAATGCTTTGGACAGTAGCTGTGAAATTATATCACATAGAACCCTAAGGTCTAGGGACATGTCCCAAGAACAGCTGTAAAACTAGGACAGGTGACCTCCATCATTAGTAAAGAGGTAGCATATGTATTGAACATAGTCCTAAAGAAGGTACTTCTGGAGAGGGTCTGCCTGCTTCATAAAATTCAGTAAGACAAATCCTTGCTCTGTGGGGATGATTAGAGAAATCAGTGTCACGATTTTGGTGATGAGTATAGGAGTCCACAACCATCAGAGAGGTCCAACTTGATTGTGGAGCCATTGTCAAAAGCAACCAATTCATGATCACAGCCAAAGACTTTTTTTTTAAATCTAGTCAAGAGACTGGTTCTTAATTCAGCTGGAGAAGGTTGGGTCTTCCAAACCTGGGAAAACTTATTTTCAAAAAGTTGCACAATTTTTGGTTTATGTGGCGCCAAATGCAGGCAGCAACTGACAGAGCTATACTCTTTTATTTTAATAAAACTCCTGGGCGCCTGGGTGGCTCAGTTGGTTAAGCGACTGCCTTCGGCTCAGGTCATGATCCTGGAGTCCCGGGATCGAGTTCCGCATCAGGCTCCCTGCTCGGCAGGGAGTCTGCTTCTCCCTCTCCCACTCCCCGTTTGTGTTCCCTCTCTCGCTGTGTCTTTCTCTGTCAAATAAATAAATAAAATCTTTAAAAAAAAAATAAAAAAAAATAAAACTCCTAAATTCTTTTAGGAAATAGCAGCCTCTTTCTAAGTACCAGGATCTATCATTTCCCTTGGAGGAGAAATACCTTTCTGTGATTATCCTTGTACCTCTTTGTTGAAGTAAGACTTTCTCCTAAAAAATTTGGTGAAAGTCCTTCACATGATGATTTTAAGTTGAGGTTACAAAAAAACTCAGCAACTGAGAAATTCTGGAATTGACTTTTCCCCTCCTTTTTCTATTGTTTAAGAAGTCCAAATTAGAGGTGAGATCTCTCAGTGTCCTACGAAGCATTTGGCCTGTGGTTCATGTATAAATGAACCAAATAAACATGAACTAAAAATACCAGCATAGCTTTTTCCACCTGAGCTAGAATTAGTTGAGATAACTAGTTATTCAGGTATTTGTGATTTAATGCTTACTGAAGGTACTGACATGTTTTTTTCTGAACGAATGTCTCCATATCCTCATTAAACTTTGGAGAGTCATTGTCAACCTTAGCCATCTGGTTTCACTATCTAACATCTTGTGTTTCCTCAGAGGTAGTGATGGCCATTGGGCAGGGATCTGTCTGTCACTGGGATTGCTCAAGCAGGATGATATGGCTTATCATATTTCCTGTTGTAGGAGGTTGGCCGGATGCCCTTTAAGGTCATAGAATCACATGCTCTACATCTCCTTCTATTCAAACAACCCCAGATTTGGTTATCTCACGTTTGTGTCCTGGACATAAAAGAAAGAGACATGCTCTGAGAATGTGCTTGAAGTGGGAATCTCCCACTTGATTTTTCCTGGACAAGACCATAGATGTTTCCAGGAACCACTTCCAGGAACATTTCTCATGTGCTCGGGAATTCTAAACATACCTTGACAGGTTGTAAATCTCCAACCAGGAAAAGTGGGCCCACATTAATATCTGGGTCTTTGGGGTAGATGTTTGGTTTTACATGATGTTGGAAGTGTTGGTAATTCCACCATTTTGTTGATAGGCCCTGAGGAGAAGAGAGGGTTCATTAGTGGTGAGATTTCTCTTCTGAAATGTCCTTCTCTGTCAGAGTTTTTTACATGCATCTCTAAAGTCAAAGTAAGATATCTGAGCTTCTTGAACTTGCTTCTGGGCCACAGAATGACACATTGGACAAAGGCTTTCAAAAGCTACAAACAAATAATTATCTGATCCAGGAACACAAATTCAGACTAATGCAACTCCTGATCATGAAATTTCATAAAAACCTGTTGCAATGAGGTGTTTTTCCATCTCCCTTTCTTTGGAAGGGGTTCCTCATTTAAAAAAATTCTAAAAGTGGATAGGGCAGTGAGTATTCTTATTTTACAAATAAAGAAAACTCAGCTCTTAAATTTTAATTAGCTCTGGGGGAACAATGGTGCTAGGAATCCTGCTTTAATGAGTATTTCAAAGAATCATGGATCTGAAATGATTTCTTAGGGGGACTTGGCTCAGATCATTGGATGTTCAGGTTTCAATGCTCTCATATAAAAATAAATTAGAATAAAAATATTTGAATTGATGCCAAGCTCAAATCATCTCTGATTAGGTTGTTTGTGATTTTCTCTCTCTCAATGACAGTCTGAAGGTTTTAATAGAGCTAAGATTTGGAAGTACATCCTGGATGTATAAATACTGTTGTGTGGTTTCGGTAAATTTCACCCTCTTTGAGGCTCTATTCCATCTTCAGTAAATGTAATATAATGACAATTACCTCCATGAGTTGTTTGTGGAGACATGAGTTGATGTATGTGAAATGTTGGCATATTGAGATATTCAATTTCTCCTCTTTTCCCCTATTACATTAATCACTATGGAAGAATGAAGAGCATTTGTGTTTTTATTGCATATTTGACCTCTCTCAGTAACTGGCCTATATGTATTTTAGATCTTCACTGTTCAATACAGTAGCCATGAGCCACATGCTGGTTATTGAGCATTTGAAATATGACCAGTCAAATTAAGATGGGCTGTATGTGTATAATACTAGATTTTGAGACTCAGGATGAAAAAAGGAGTGTAAGATACATATTAATGATTTTTCTATTGATTACATGTTGAACTGATAATATTTTGAATATATACATGGGGTAATAAAGGTATCTTTTAAAATTTGGCTATTAGAAACTTTAAAATGATTTATGTCATTTTAATGTGGCTTGCATTATATTTCTGTTGGACTATGCTGGTCTAGACACTGATATCTGCTGTAGAGGGGGATGGGCATGTTTGAAAATCTGCAACTGTTAACCTTGTCTTTCCATGGTCCTTTTGCAGAGTCCTCTCTTAGCAAACTCCTGACCCCATCCATCAGGAGAGATAGTCTCTTTTCACCTCTAACCCACTCCCTACCATCCATTAGTGAAATCTCTCTTCCTCCATCCCAGGTCTCTCCCTTGAACCTCATGTTTGAAAGGGCAGTCATTTTCCAAACACTTCCTTTTGGATGGCTCATGATATGTCAAACTCAATGTGTATTCATCAATTTTTATTCCCCCTTCTGGGGCTCCATTGCGCTCTGCGCTTCTCCCATCAAACTGCCTACCCCCCAGTCACTCTTACAGCTGTGCATTTGCCCTTTTATTGACCCATTCATTATTTATTTTGAAGTACATCCCATGCATCAGACATGGAGCCAAGCACTTGGAATATAAAGTCAGACGTGATAAAATGGGGTTCCCACACTTATGAAATATACAACCTCAATGGGACCAGTAAGCACATAAGGACACTGTGATAAGCAATGGTTCACTTTGTTAATTAAATCTTTTGAGAACCAACATTTTGGCCCTTCCACCAGCTGACTGTACCTTTGCAGTCATGACTATCTGTGGAAACTGGTAATAGGAGAGACAAGTTTTGATTCATGATAGGTCGGGGGGCAGATCTTGACAGCTCAAGGTTCTGAAGTTTTAGAACAGTGGTCAGAGTAATTATGGGTGTGATCTAAAGCAGCAGGTGCTACCCTCACCCCGGGTCTGGAAGCCACAATTACTGGAGCCAAAGGATAGACTGATCCATGGGGAAGTGAAGATTATCAGTTGCATGCAAATAGGCTAGGCTGCCCACACCAAATGCCATCTAGAAACTACCCTAAGTCATTTCTTATTTCCAAGTGAGGTCCTTTCCTGGTGCTGTCTAAGGAATCCAAGCCTTGGCTTCAGGCATTTTTTGGCTTGAATTCAAATCCCTGCTGCTGGATGTGTGTGGGCTTGGGCAAAATCCTCATCTGTGAAATAGATAAGAAGAGGATTACATGCTTGACACTCCTCCCCCAAATTATTTTCAGATGTAGTCATGGAGATGATAGGCCAGATAGGATAGGCCAGATTTTCAAGGTAGGTCTTAGTATCAAATATTTTGTCTCTTTGTCCCTGTGACATACTTGATTCTTATAGTTTTCAAAATGTGTGGGTGTTGGGGGAGGGCAGTTGAAAGATATGCTACAGGGAGTCCATTTGGATTTTGGCTTTGCACAGAAGTCCAAAATGTGTGCAGATATTTGGCAGTGTGCTTTCAGAAGGGCTCTTTTATTGCACAAATATTATGAAGACCAGACATACACATTTACTTAGTGCAGTGAGTGAAAAAAAATTCCCCCCCAAATCTCAATATCTGTGCTTTTCCAGGGGGAGGGTAAATTGACATGAAATCAAGTTTTGAAATTTAAAATTGTGATGTACGTAGAAGGTGAAGGTGTTGCTTCTTATATTATAATTTTCTTTGTTACCTCCCTCCTGCCTTCCTTTCCTTCCCACAGATAGTTTTCTCTCCTGCACAGAGTGAAGCTTATATTCATTTTTCTCATGAATCACTGGTTTTGCCTGCAAAAAAGGCAGAGTACACTCAATTTGCCTTTAGAGCATTTCCCATTTACTTACTCCGTTCATGAGTCATCAAGGTTATATTCATTTCAACTAGTGCAAAATTGTTTCTGGCAACACAATTTACAGAGAGAGAGAGCAGTGTAAGAATTTGGACCAATGGGAAAGCAGTGACTTTTTAAAAGCACCAGCAAGGATGGAGCTTTAAATATTACCTATACTGGCACCATGTCAACTGTCAATTATCTCCGGGGCACACGAGTCCCCCTTTTCCCCTGACTTCCTCAAAACGGAGAGAACTGGAGAGCCTATTACCTAATTCTCACAAGGACAGAAGAAACTGTCTTTGTTTTTATTCTGTGGTAAAGATTTCTGAGTGAATACAGAAACACTTTGTCAATCTAGCGCTGGTGGATAGAAGGCAGAGCAGTGTACCTACAGGAATTTTCCAGTTAAATGAGACTTGTCACATAAAATGACAATATGTTATTCATTCTAACCATTTTGAGTAACAGACATAATTCTAATATGAATCTAGATCCAACTCTGTGCTATTTAATCTAATTAAACTTAGTTTGCTCAACCGGAAGGAGGGTTGATAAAACTGTGATTTTAAGTATCTTCCAGTTCAATATAAAACCAGTGTGTTAGGGCAAAACAAATAGGCTCTGAGTCAGTGCTTATGAGTTTTTCCTAAAGTGACCTGGCTCGAATGCAAGATTTAGCTTAGTGGAAGGCTTAGACGCACTTCCCCCTTTTTGGGCCAGAGTACATAGTCAATAAATCCTAGAATGTTGTAGAAGAGCAGAGATTCAGTTTAAGTCCTAATATTAGAGATGAGAACACTGAAAGCCAGAGATAGAATATGACTCAGTCAATATCACACAGGGAGCCTTATCATAGCCAGGCTAGAACCCACTTCTAGCAGTCCTGTTCTCTTACCTTGGTTCACACATCCATCCATCCATCCATCCACTCAACAAATGCTATTGAAGACCTAATATGCACCAGGAACTCTGCTAGCTGCATTGCAGGGGCACATAGGACAATGTGCCTGCCCTCCTAGAACTTATGTTTGGGTTGGGAGGGGAGACAAGATCAACTACCATCATAACCACTGCTTTTTCCAGAAGTCTGGGGTTTGCAATCCTCAACTCTTGAATGGTGCCATCTGACCTTTCTTGTCCATTCTCTTTCTCTTCACTTTTATCTATTCTGCAGTCTTTCCTTTATTTCTTCATACCCTATCCTTCCAAGACTAATCAGCCTTTCTGGATTCCTGTAGCTTCCCAGCAGTAAATGTTCAGACTCCTTCTATGAACACTCCCATTCATGATTTTACAAGGCACAGTCCTTCTCCTCTGAGGTGGTTTCTTAATGGGGTTCCAGGGATTGGGCCAAAGAGTTTATTAGGGTAAGAAAAGATGTTGGAACTTCCTAAATAAAAATAAACCTTTCCTCTTAAAAATTTAACATCCTTATTTTAACATATATGCTATAACACTATATACATATTAGCATATATATAGTATCTACATTATTAGTATATTTACACTTACTTGCAAATCTATTTGTGCACAAACATTTTTTACTGACATGAGTGCCCAAACTTGGAAACCACTGCATTAGGAAATGATATTTGAGAATCCCATCACACTCCCCTAACATCCTGTACCTTGAGATGACTCAACAGAAATTTCTGCATCAGGTGGTTCCACTTGGACTTCGTAAACATGGAAAGGTGTCCTGTGTCATGCTGCAGAAATGAACTCTGACCCTAGAAGGGAGAAGTTGTTTTTAGAGAAGTTGGAAGGGGAGAGAGGTCAAGAAGAAATTAATAAATAAGCCTGCTTGTAGACTCAGGAGCCCTTTGGAGAGGAACGGTGGGAGATCTCATCTGACCCCCAGCCACAGTCACTTTCTATTTCCCACATGGTGCATTCTTTCCCACTTGTGTGCCTTTGTCTATGGGGTTCTTACAGCTTAGAACATTTTCCTTGCCACTGTCAAAATCTTCCAATGAGAATTAGAAAGAGTACGGCCTTTGGAGTCAGGCAGATTTGGGTTCTCAACTGTTCTTCACTATGTATATGTTGCATGGATCTTGGCAAGATACGCAGTAATCTGAACCTCAACTCTTCATATGATAAGTAGGGATAATAATACCTTACTCATGGACCATCGGGTAACTTAAATACCTACAAAGTGCCTGGCTTATGCTAAGCACCAAAAAATGTTTGTTTCCTTTCCAGTTTCCAAAAGAATTGCTTTTCAATAAAAGCAAGTTGACATTTCAAGAAAAAAAATTAACATAAAATTCTGGAATTAACATTGAAACCTTCCCTAGGTATTCCAATGAGAATTAAATGCCTCTTTCTGCTTCAACAGCACACGCTTGTTCCTCTTCTTGGCATTAATGTCATTTTGTCATGTAGCATGTATAGCAATTTGAACATCAATCTCCTGCACTTGAAGACTCTTTTCCCAAAGGCAGGAACCAGGTGCATTTCCTGTCATGTCCACAACACAGTGTTGCGCTCACAGAAGGCCATGTTCAGAGATTCATACTTCATTCAACAAAGATTTAACAAATGTTCTGCTATGTGCCAGTTGATTATCATTTATGGTGGAATCCATACATTCTCTTTTTAAAATTTAAATTCCAGTTAGTTAACATACAGTATAATATTAGGTTCAGGTGTATAATATAGTGATTCAACACTTGCATGCAACCCCCATAGTGTTCATCACAAGTGCCTTCCTTAGTTCCCGTGACCTATTTTATCCACCCCCTCACTCCCCTCCTCTCTGGCAACTGTCAGTGTGTTCTCTGTAGTTGAGATTCTGTTTCTTGGTTTGCCTCTATCTCTTTATTGGTTGGAAGATGAATACAAGATAAAAGTGAGTGTTACATGGCTGAGAAAGGACTTCAGTTACTAAACTGGTATGTAGAGAATTGGGTGAAAAGTAGCACGTGTCATAAATTGAATATTTCCTATGTGCCAGTCACTGTGCTAGGCATTTTACACATTAACTTGTTTAGTCTAGAATATTTCCATAAACAATTGTTATCCCACTTTTACAGAAAAAAGAACTGGGGTCTGGCAAGGTGTGTCAGTCACTGATGAGAAGCTTGCCAGGAAGTGTCAGGCAGCAGCTGGTGCCAGTCTAAAGAGAGAAGGAAACATTTTAAACCTTCCCCCTGAGCCACTGCCTGAGCTTTGGCTACCTGCTTACCTGGGAAATTACGAGAAGGAAGGAAATGAATATTGTCACAAGCCAGCCATTGCCAAAATGCCACACCATTAGCCAAGCCAAGGTCTCCAAAATCAAGATCTGGGTCAAGTGAAGGAAGAGGAACACCCAGTTGGCCTTGAACATGTTCATGGCCTCTAATGTTCTTTGCAATTCTTGGAAATCTTCCACCAACTGGGACTGAGAAATAAATATTCAGGGAAGGAATTAGTTCCCTCAGGGAACACAAATGAACACAGTGAATAATCTATTTTATTAGCTTATTAATACCTTAATCTTAATGAATAGAAATTTATTGATATTAATATGTTTAATTGGGCAAAATTAAAAACATAAAACCATGAGCAAACAAAACCTTTTAAAAAGGTTATGATATGAGTGTTGTTGGAGTGGGGGGTGGGGTGGGAGGGATGGGGTGACTGGGTGATAGACACTGGGGAGGGTACGTGCTCTGTTAAGCGCTGTGAATTGTGCAGGACTGTTGAGTCTCAGATCTGTACCTCTGAGACAAATAATGCAAGATATGTTAAGAAAAAAA